CCTGGAAACTCGCCTTAACAATCAGGAGACTTTTCTTTTCAACTATAAAGGGAGACCCTTAATTTGTAAAGTCTGTGAAACTAAAACTAAAACGTCCACTCTTAAAAATTACTTGTCGGTGTATATGTATGTGTGCTCATGTATGTGCACATGTGTGAGTGTGCATGCAAAGGCCAGAGGTTGCTATCAGGTGTTTCCCATGTTTGCTTTCCGGCTTGTTTTTGAGACAGGGTCTCTCACTGAACCTGGAGTTCACGCACTGGACTAGACTGGCTGTCTAGCGAGCCCTATGGAGCCTCTGCCTCTGCCTTTTCCATTTTTGGGATTGCAGGCAAGCACCATCATGCTTAGTTTTACTTGGGTGCTAGAAACTGAACTCAGGTCCTTATGCTAGTGCTGCAACCACTTTATGACTAGACAATCTCCACAAGTCTTCATGACCCCAAATTAATTTTTAATGACTAGTTAAAATGTACTCTCCTAATAAAAACATTAAACATTAACAGATAAAGTGCCCTTTTAGTGTATATTTTTATGCATTTCATATAAAACTTAATCGTCCTTATACTCCCTCCCCTATCTCTACCCCCACCCCCATAGCCTCCTCAATGGACTTCATGCATTCTGTCATATATGCTAAGGCCTAGTGAGTCAAGTTTGTGTACACAGATGTCCCTCAGTGCAAATTCATCCACTAGAGTCAAGTCAGCCTATCTAGAGTCTTTCCCTTAAAGAAGATCAACTCTCCCTCACCCAGCAATAATCAGTTGTTCTTTGGCTAAGGTTGGGACTGGTTGCCTATCTCCCCAGTTTTATGTTGGGCATTGTACTTAAAGCCCTCTCAATGGGAGGGAACTCATATGTGGTACTATAAACATAGCCAAATACACATGACTGGAGAGGTCATAGATTCTAGAGACAACTCTACATCTGTCATATTCCTAGATAAATGTAATTTCTTATTGTATGCTAAATAGCAATACTTTTATTTACAGATATGCATACCATTCACTGCTCATCAAAGAAGCTTCTTTTTGCAACAGAGAGAGACTAGCACAGAGTTTGACAACTGGTCACACACAGACAGTAAGTATCTGAGAGATGCCTAGTCCTAAGTGACACATATACACGGAACCTCTACACCTAAGGCTCATGGACATAGTGAAACAGGAGGTAGAGAGAACACTAATGCATCTCTTAACTCTCACCAGCAAAGATTCTTCATGCAACAGAATATGATGCACACAGAAGACACAACTGGCCAAAGTGTAGAGAATAAGAGACTGCAGAGTGAATGTCTCTGGATAGGACTCCTATTTTAATCCTCACCCATCCATGGCTCAGGGACCATTGTAGAAGGGGGCGGAAAGATTGTAAGAGCCAGGGTTGGTGCATGATCATAAGGAAACAGTCTTGCAGGTTCCTGGGAACTTGCTCATATGAACTTAGAGCAATGGTGTTAGCATGCACAAGACCCATGCAAACTCAATCAGATAAAGTGCCTTTTGATAGTCCCGCGTACTACATCCTCCACTAATTTAGTAGTCTAAGACTTAACTACTGTTAACAGTTTTGTATGTACCTTTCTAGAACTTCTGAGCACCCCTGGTGCTAACCTGTAAGTTTTCTTGGACACACAAAAGCAGACTTGCTTCCTAATCATGTAAACACAGTTTTAATTTATTTAAGACTGTCAAATAGTCCTTCATGATGGCAGTATCATTTTATACTCCTAAGGACCAACAACTGTTATTATGAAACATTTTAGATTTGCAAATCAGATAGACATTGGTACAAACCCTTGGTTATCTAGATTGCATAAAACTCTTCTTAAGCTTTCTTTTTTAATTTGTTGATAATGTTGATCATATATTTAACATATATTTAATTTGAGAGCATCAAGTTATTTTTTCCATGTCTCTTGTCTTTTAAATCATTTGAAGAAGGCCCCCAAATTATAAAAGATGACCTATATTTTCTTATGATACAGCTTATGTATTTTTTTTGCTTGTGCCTTATTTCTTTATATTTAGGTCATTAAACATTTGCAAGTGAGTGAGGTAGCAGCCTCACTCCCCACCCTTTTTGAAAATATAAGTAAGTGATGTGCAGACATCATTGATTTTCTAAGACATACTCAAGAGTATCAACAATGGACTAGCCAAAGCACTCATGACCTTAGAGCAGCTATGCCTGCCTGCAATGGGTCTCCACAAGACAGAGTCTATCAATAGTCAATCATGAATCCTGAAGGCACTTACTGGGCCCTACTCCTCCCAGCTAGACTATCGGCTACTATGGATTCTGGGGGAGGGACAATCATTGTTTTCAGTTGTGTACCCACTGAGGTGCCCACCAAACTCCAGAGGATAGTTTCAAACCCATACAAAGATGATTCCGGTTAAACTCAATGGGTCTCAACAAAACAAAGCAAAAAGTCATAAATATGAGAAGGGAACTTGTTTTGGTTAACAGAGTGGGAGGGTGATTGAGGGTTATAATAATTGGAATGCACACTAAGCAAGTGTGAAACTGTCAAAGAACAGACTCAATAAAATTTTACTTTTTTAAAGAATAGTAACCATAGTGGTTCTATCTTGGCCTTTTTTCCTGTCCTACTGTGTCATTTTGTGAGTGTTCAGCTGCCCAGGTTATGCTGACTATTCACGTTTATTTTGGTTTGGATGTATTTCACTTTCTCCTAACTATATTTATTTCTCACTTCTATTTATCAAGCTTTGTAACTGGTTTTTTTTTTTTTTTGCTGAATTTTGTTGGATTCATCAGTTTGTTTTTGCTTACTTTTTCTTTACTGGTTTGAACATGATAAATTCTAACTTTGTGACTAACAAACACCTTAATTTTTAATGTATATTTTATTGAGCTTTTGTTCATTTCATACAATAAACCTTAATCATATTAGACCCCCTCCCCCATTCACACCCCTCCTCGTATCCCCCCACTGATTTCATGCATTCTGTCATATATCTGGCCAAGCTTTTGTCCCCAGATGTTCCTCAGTGCAAGTTCATCCACTGGCCTCTAGTCAGCCTGTCTAGAATCACTCCCTTAAAGAGGATCTACTCTCTGTCACCCAGCAGTAGTCAGTAGCCAATTGTTCCTTGGCCAAGATTGGGGCCTGCTGCCCACTTTCCTGGTTCTATGTTGGGTTTTTGTTTGAGTCATCATGAGTCTTGTGAGTTCATATGAACAAGTTCCCAGAGACCTGAAAGCCCGTTTCCTCATGTTCATGTACCAACCCTTGCTCTTACAATCTTTCTACACCCTCTTCTGCTAATGAATACCTTTTAACGTCAACACCCATAGCAGCTGTGACTCTCAAAGTATGTAATTAAGCATCAGTACACTGATCTGGAACAACAGCAAGGGTAGTCTGACTTTCTACTGTATTTCCTGAGGAATTCTGTAGTTGTATATACCACATTGGCATCATCTGTAATTTTACTGAAGGATTATTAAAAAATGAATGTTTAGCATTAATAAGTATTAACACATAACATTGTTTTATTAATTTCTTTGTTTATTGTATCTTTTGTCATTCTACTTATTTCTGGGTTCATTTTTTAAAAATAAATAATTTATTGAGATTTCATACATGCATATAAGGTGTTTTGATCAAATCCATGCCCACTCCCTCCCTTCTTGGCCTCTTTCCTGTTCTACTGTGTCATTTTGGCGCGTGTTCAGCTGCCCAGGTTACGCTATTCATGTTTATTTTGGTTTGGATGTATTTCACTTTATCCTAACTATATTTATTTCTCACTTCTATTTATCAAGCTTTGTAACTGTTTCTTTTTGGCTGAATTTTGTTGGAGTCACCAGTTTGTTTTTGTTGTGAAGATGCATGAACAGTAAACTTGAGCTCTGTGTTTCTTAGAGAATTTACTTTTCACATTCATTTTAATGATGGTTTGGCTTAATAAAGAACTCTAGGTTTTAAATTTTTACCCTCAAAAATTTAAATCTATTGCTCCACTTTTTCCTTATATCCAGTGTTGTTGCTGAGAAATCTGTTGTCTAGCTGTCAGGCTTTTTTCTTCTAAAATTTTGATTTTCTAAAGCTCATTATGAAAAACTAAGGGAATATATATGTGTGCACTGATCTTTCATTGCCTTTGTGAGCTTTCAATAAAAATGCAAAACCTTTCTTCATTGTTTAAATACCTCTTCTCCTCTTTTCTTGACTTGCATTGAGATATGTGATTACAGAGACTAACTTCTGCATCCATTTCTATGTATCAGTTCTTCTCTAAATGTTCCATCAAAGTTATTCATTATGTTCTAGTCCAGGATTCCTTGACTTAATCTTTTAGCATACTAATTTTTTTTCTCAGTGATGTGATGCCTAACTGACCGTCCAGTATACACAATAATTTTTTAAAATTACATGATGGAAATTTTTCATTTTTGTGTCCTCCACTAGGCTTTTTTTCTTACAGAGGTAACTGCCTCTTGGAATTCTCCAAGATTATAAAACACACACATTCAGATGTGCTCTTTCTACATGTGTGTTTTCTCAGGTAAAACTTCTGTTTGTTGGTATCTGGTTTTCTCAACTTGTCAATTCTAAATACTGAGCCAATCTTTATGTTTGAGTTTATCCAGTGAGTACAAGAGCTGTAGTTTGCAATTTAGTTGTTTGAGAGAGTCAAAGAGAGACAGAAGATTTCACTAGGCAGGGTACCCTTTCTACACTGAAATCAGTAACTATGCAAGGCTCTGCTCTGTCTCTTTTATCCGAGAGCTCTTTTTGTAGTCCTGTCTGAACCAGACACTTTTTTTTTTTTTTTTTTTTTTTTTTTTTACTTCAAGGTATGCCTAAGAGGGCTGTACTGTAGAATGAGAATTTTTTTCCTCGTCTTGTAATTCTAGACAATTGTTTAAGTTTCCAAAGTTACATTTCTTCTTATATAGGTTTTATGACGATGTGACAGTGCATGTATGCTTTCAGATTCTTTTCACATTTTTTTTTATTTGGCCAGGGAAGAGCGTGAACGCAGTCCCCCGCTACCACAAATTATGCAGTTGAGTTTCCCGCATTTGGAGAAATCGCAGGGATCAGCACATCCCAAGTGCAATGGATGAGCCTTGCCCTGGGAAAACCACCTTCCTGATCACGGTGTCTCCCCTGCCAGGTTAAGTATTAATGTAAATAAAACACCAAAGTATAATAGTCAGAAATAATGATGTGGCAATAAAATCATAACTAACCATTAAAAATACCTATTTAAAAGGCATCAATGTGGGGTTGGAGAGGTGGCTCAGCAGTTAAGAGTAATCGAAGACCCAGGTTCGAACCTAGCACCCACATGGCTCCTAACAACTGACACCCCCTTCTGACTTCCATGGGCTTTGCAAAACAGGTGTAGTTACATACATGTAGGCATAACACTCATACACATAAAATAAAAATAAATTAAAAAAGGCATCAATGTAGAGGCAAAGTCACTAAAAGACACTATTCCAACATGCAGTGGTAGTTATGCGTGTGCTACAGAATGCTTTATGGATAACTTTTTTACTCAGTGTGCTCTTCACAGACTGGGTTTCTTTCAACTCATAAGAGAGAAGACATGGAGCATGCAGTTATATCATCCTATCTTAACAATAGTTGAAGTGTAAAAATTTACATCATGTTAATCAGTAGAGGTGATAAACATTACCATTGAAATCTACCCGATGACTTTATACACAGGAGCCAAGGATTTGAGTGCAACCATAAAAGTAACCAACTGTGACTAGCAATAACCAGATACATACAGATTAGAGATGCATGTGCAAACATCTAAGTGTTATTAGCATTAAAGATGAGTCTTTCTGTAAGAAACAGTATATTTTAAAATGAAATGGAGATTTTTTTAAAGGTTAAAAACTCATTCAATTTTATGTCTTACAGGGTTTATATTGAGTCCAATATTGTATAACTGTATTAATTCAACTGTGAACCTAAAAATTTATAGCCACTTTTGAAAGAGATGTATCTTTGCTCTGGAAATTGCTACTGAGTATGTTAAAGCTGTAATGAAATGCTTCTTCTAAAAAAATAAAGAATAAAAAAAAATAGTTGGAAGACCATGACGGAGTATATACTCCTGACAAATGCCATATGCTTCCTTTTGTAATGGTTCTACAGAATGGCATTTGTGAAAAAATAAGATTTCATTAAAGTGCTGCAAGCCACACAGAGTTTTCAAAATTACTTAGAGATGACAGCACTGGCCACCACCATCACCAGATGCCATACTGGGAGGACTGGTGGCAGGCGGGGGTGGGGGTAGAAGAGTGGGGGTGAAGGTACGAAAGAAATCTTTGGACATTTTATTATTAATCTTGTTATTAAATAAACATAAAGCCACCTGAAATGGCATGTCTCATTTTGGGGGGAGGACCTAAATCTAAACAGTGATTTGCATTGGCTGAGATTCTTATATGGCTCCCTTTATTCCAATTATCGTGTATTAAATCTCAACATAAATTTGAGATTATACTAGGAGAATGTGTTTTTTATAAGTGGTGTAAAAAATTCCCTTCATGCAGCCCTTAAAATAAAGCAAAATGTAAACACCCCATTTGCAAGAATCTCTGCATGTAGGGTCCAGTTTCTTTCATGATATGTTAGTTACATACAGATAATACTTCATGGTTAATCAAACATGTTCAGAAACATTTTCTTATCATTAAAAATGAAATATCTATCAGTAGCAAGTTGATCATGGTAATGTTCACTATGGGTAGATTAATTAAACTTTTCTCATTTTCTCTCCAACCCCATCACTGGCTCTTTCTCCTGTAGTACTCTATATTCAGCCCCCAAGCTCTCGACTCCTCTCTTCTTTCTTTATGTAGTTATCAATACACACAGCTATCATCTCCACATGAAATTTGTGTTGCTCCTGCCCACCTTGATATCTTAACACAAACTCTGAGAATTTACATTATTCCTGAGCACCTCCCCCCAACAAAAATCTTTCTGTCATATTCCTCCTTCTTTCCATAAACAGCATCACTAATCCATTCACTGAGCTGATCAAAACAAGGGGAAATTTGTTCTAGTGCTCAGCTCTTATGATTAAATCCAAGTTCTTGTCTTTTCTACTTCAAAGACAGATCTTCAGCTCACTTATACCTTTCTGTTGTAATCTCCACTACCCAGGTTGAAAGTCCTCATCTGTCACTTGAGATACTCCAAGAACTTCCTTCTGTCTACCCTTGTTGCCTTCCCTCTATTTTCTACAATGCAATCACAACAATTTGGGGGGGGGTTGTATATTTTTTGTTGATTTTTTGTGTATTTCATACCCAGTATCTTAATCATCTTTATACCCCTTCCCCATTGGCACCCTCCCAAACCCCCCACCCCCACTGGATTTCATTTATGTTAAGGCCTGTCATTTTGTACCCAGACGTCCCTCAGTAAAAGTTCATCCACTGGCATCTAGCCAGCCTATCTAGAGTCACTCCCTTTTAAAGGGGATCAGCTCTCTCTCACCCAGCAGTAATCAGCTGCCCAATAGTTCTTTGGCTCAGATTGGGGGCTGCTGCCCATTTCCACAGTTTTATGCTGAGTTTTTGTCTGCTTGAGTTTGCATGGGTCTTGTGCATGCTGTCACCATTGCTGCAAGTTCATATGAGAAAGGTCCCGGGAGCCTGTAATACTCTATTTCCTTATGGTCATTCTGGTCTTACAGAGGACCAGCACCCACATGGTGGCTAACAACAATCTTTAACTTCAGTTCCAGGAGACCCAATACCTTCTGTGCTTTGTAGGCATTGCATGCATGTAGTACATGCAGGAAAAACTCATACACATAAAATACAAATAAATAAACCTTTAAATTCTTTTAAAGACATAGATATAGTCTTGCTAGTTTCTTATAAGGTTATCAATGGATATTGCATCAAAATTATCTTTTTCTCATGATCCTTAAAGCTTTGATGGATGGTCCTGGTTCTAGTTTCATTAGCACAGCTGTGTCTCAGAAAACAAGTTCTTATTTATTTCAAGTCTGACACTTGAGATATTCCTTATGCTTGAGGTTTTTCTCTTTCATTCTTTCTGTGGCTGGATCATTTCTTGGTTTAAATTTCAAAATTGAAGAGAAGTTTCTTATAACCTTGGCCCCTACCAAACCTGACATGAACTGTCTACAAACTTATAATAGGTTACTTATTTGCTTTTTGTTCCTTTCTTTTGCTAACTATGTTTATCTTTTTTATTGTGACTATATAAAGTGTACTCAGCACAGTACTGACACATGATAGGCTCTTAAAAACGGGCTGCATTAATCTCCTGTAGTCTCTGTACTGCACTTGCCCTATTGTGGAATCAATATAAGAATGGTCCTCTCTGTGAGACTGTAAAATCTTTAAGCCAGACGACTATCTCTTGCCTTTGTTTGGCATAGTATGACACATCATCATCAGCCTATCCATAAAGACTGAGATTAGCAGTTCACTGATCTTTTATTAAAAATATATTAGCATGACGACCCGCCAGCCTCTCTCCTGGGTAAGTCGATCATGCCTTCCATGCCTTGACTCCCCCAGCCTCATTCACCCCCCATCTCCCCATCACATCTCTCCTCCTAGCCTGGGTGCTGTCCCATTCCTTGTCTTGGTTCCCCAGACACCTGGGGAACAACCACTGCTTCCTGATCCTTTGTATCTAGACCAACCCAGTTCCTTCGCCCCGTCCCCAGGAGCCCTCTGGGCCTGGTCCTGCCCTCACCTCCCTCTGCTTCCCTGGGCTGCACAATCCACTAGCCTTTCTCCCAGGAGCCCTCTGGTCTTGGTCCCACCCTCACCTCCCTCTGCTTCTCTGGGCTGCATAACCCACCAGCCTCTTTCATGGACACTGGGGCTGACCTTTGAGCTTCCTGATCCTTTGCATCAGGACCAACCTAGTTCCTCAGTGCAGTCCCCAGGAGCCCTTTGGGTCTCTTACCACCCATATCTCCCTTTGTATCTCTGAGTGGCATGGCCACCAGCTGCCAGAAACCAGCATCTATCCTGGGCCCTGCTCCCAGGCCACTCCAACTCCCAAATTCCTAGGGACAAAATCTTTCCTGGAGGGATCCAGACCTTAGGAGAAAGCCTGAGAGCATCTGATCCTCATCTGATTTGGGCCTCTGTGGGAACTCCTGAAGACAAAAGCAATCCGTCCACTCCAATATAAAACCAAAAGAGAGAACCGAAAGTGGACTTTTCATGCCCAAAAAGTAAACCACAAAGGCACATAAAGTTTACAAAGTGAAGCAGACCAAATATCAACAAAGGAAGGCTTTAGTCTCACACAAGAACCAGAATCTGCAAAAGAAATCCACATGCCAAAGTCACAGGGAAAATATAATAACATGAAAAATCAAAATAACATATAACCACCAAGTGCTAACAGTCCTCTAGAGGAGTACAATGGGTACCCCCTAGAGATAACACAGGACATGGAACTCAAAAGAACAATTATAAACATGATAAAAGAATTCAGTGCATTTAAAGATCACACAAAGAAAAAGAACTGAAGGAAGATAGGAATAAACTTCTAAATTCAGAAAAGAGCTAGAAATATTAAGACTACTAAGGCTGAAATGAAGAAGGAAGTGAAACACTCCGTAAGCCACTTAGAAACAACAGGAGAAAGCCTCACCAATAGGATGAATGAAATAGAAAACAGAATATAAAGACAGGAAGATAAAGTGGACAAACTAGACCACTCAAGCAAAGATGATGAAAAATTTAAGAAATCACAAGAATGGAATATGCAGGAATTATGTGACACTGTAAAAAGACCAAACTTATGAATGATAGGCATACAGGAAGGAGAAGAATCCAAAGGTAATGGCATAGAACAGACCTTCAACAGAATTGTGGAAGAAAATTTCCCAAAATTAAAGAAAGACATGCCCATACAAATATGAGAAGCATATAGAACACCAAACAGACAGGACCAGAAAAGAAACTCTCCATGGCACATCATAGTAAAAACATTAAACATACAAAACAAAGAGACAATACTGAAAGCTGCAAAAGAGAAACAACAAGTCACATAAAAAGGAAAACCCATTAGGATTACAGCTGAATTTTCACTGCAAACTATCAAAGCCAGAAGAGCTTGGACCAAAGTATTCCCAGTTTTAAATGACCACAG